CATTTTCTTGATATATATACATACATATATATGTGTTGAGCACTCTACACCTTTCTGGGCAAAGCTTGGAGATTCAGGATTTTCAAAAGAGATGAGTACTTTATTCTGTCTATAATACTTTTATGCACGGTGGCGGCAGCGGTGGTGGTGGTGGTGGAGGCGTTGCGATATTAGGAAACGTGTACATTATATCTCAATTGTGGCACTCTAAGATAACTATCTCTCAACTTCTCTATTCTTTTAGGTATATCTTCTTTTTGAATTTCTGCACAAGTCTCTAATTTATATTTCACGGGATTAACAATACTTGTTTTTTGTTTTTTTTTAATATATAAATGGTTTGATAATAGTTCATAATTATTGGCCTGTAATTAGATTTTTCTAAAAAAATAAACTATTGTAAACGTCGGAAAACTCGACTTTAAAAGTTGTCGTTGCAACAAAAGCAAAAACGTGTCAAGTAACTTTTTGTTCAAAACATGTTTTTTAAGCATTTTGCAAACCACGACTTTAAAATATATTTTCAACACAAAGAAGTCAAGAAACAAAGATCATCGATGAACCATATATAACATTCTCACTGGAATCAGACTTTTAACAGAGTACATTCAATCACGAACACGACAAAATGGAGTGATCTGTCTTACAATACACGCACACATTATAATTAAAACAAATCTTGATAAATATATCGAAAAGTAGTTCCAAATTAGATGCCAAAAAAGAATTATCGAAAGGCTCATTTAGTTCGATGAGCCAAGTAAAACAAAATCACCGCATGTTCAAATTAATACCGCGTCTGATGACAAAGATTTTACGATGAACAACCTTCCTACTCCCTCGTACCTTTTCAGTCTGCTCTATGGCTCAATCACAAAAAGAGGCTGTCGACAGTAAAAAGAATAAAGTAAGGAAACAAATGAAAGGACATTCTAGAGAAATTTTATTTAATACCGGATTTTTAACAATTTTAATATTAGATCTAATATAAAGAAACGAATGTCGTACCACCTAAACAATTAGTTTGTCAATTGGGACTTAATATAATCCAATCCATTCAAATTAATTTGACTAATACAACTGAACAAGACCTTACTTAATTAGCATGATTATTCATTAATCTAAAGAGAACTCACTGTGTCAATACTGACTGGCTTGCCATCTTCCCCGAGAATCTCAACTAATGTTCCAGATTGATCAGCCTGCAAAGAGTTCATTTACGCAACAATAGAGAGATAAGCAAGTTGTGCACTAATCAATACTATCAAATTTGCAGTGGATACTGCAGAATAATGCGCTTATACGGATATTTCCCGACTATTAACATGTTTAGATATCGATTTACAAGCAGTTAATGCTAGCGCCTTTTGCAAAGACCAAAAGGTAATCAGTTTATTACAACTTTCAAACAGTAAAGGAAAAATAAAGGGGTACAGAGAAAAAAAAATTACTGCTTACTTCTATTTCATTCATCAATTTCATGGCCTCGATGATGCATAGAACCTGTCCCTTTTGTACTTTATCTCCAATCTGCAAAAAAATTGCATTAGTCAAAATGAAAGAGAGAGAAAGAGTATGACTTAACTTTGGCTACTTTATTCATACATTAGATCCATGTATATCTAAGCTGTTACAAAAATAAATGATATCTTCATAGAATATCGGTACTAATAATTTGTAGTAGAAACAAATAAAACTATGTTTACATTATAGATGACAGACATCACAATCCTTCCAGTTTACCTTCACAAATGGTGGTTCACCAGGTGCTGGACTACGATATAAGGTTCCTGCCATGGGACACTTAAAAGGCGGATGAGATGACTTGGATGGTTGAGCTTTAGGAGGAGCAGGTGTTGCTGCAAGAGAAACTGCAGCAGTCGGCACCACTGGAGATGGTGCATAGACTGGCGGTAGAGCTGCAGGCTGAGGTTGAGACTGATAATATGTAACGGGGGGAGCAGCAGGTGGAGATAAGGCCTCCTTTTTACGTATCAATATTTCACAGTCAAATTGTTTCAAATGCAGTTCCTTGATATCCTTAGAATCAACCAACCTATGAAAAGGGTATTTAACCTCGTTATTTCAGTTAAAAGGCGAAAGAGGAACTCACTCATAGGGAATCATATTAAAATACGTACTTGACGAGACTTGAAACTTGACTAATAAATTCGGATATTGATTCTTCGGATCTCAATGCAGCAGACGGAGGAAGCTCATTTGACGACTTGATACTCTTGGCTTCGACCGGTGACCCCTCTGATTGTACAGTAGTTGATGCAGCAGCTTTTGGCGATCCATCCACAGCAACCTTTAATTCAACAGATGGCTCCAGAAGGGTTTCCACGAAGGAACGGAAATTTGAAAAGAGTTCTTCAAATAAAATCCACGGGGAAAACCTTACCTCGTTTAGTTGAGCTCTTACCACAGTAGAACAGTTCGAGCCCGACTGCAAACCCTACAAAATGCAAAGCCATATGATGAAATGAGAATACATAAAAGCCAATTAAGCAATAGGAAAACCAGTAAAATTCGTTTGCTACAGTCAGGCCTTGGCAACCCGGAACGAAAAGTTGGAAGTAACATGAAATTCTTTCTCTGGATAGAAACAATATCGAGGAAACTGTTTAAAAAAGAAGATATCGATAATATACATACTAAAAAGACAAATACAGTGCTCTTCTACATCCAACTTAAGCATCAAAGTATTCATCCTATGCTAAAAACCAGTGCCTCCTAATCATTGTTAGCAGGATTTCTAGGTGAGGTGCGATTTCCGTATACATCAAGATCAATTACTTCAAAATACATACATATAATCACCGAATAAATCCACGAGCACACTTTTCACATTTGCCAATATGATCAGTCCCCCCACACATTCTAAAACGAAGCTAATTTTATTAAATTAAAAGAAGAACAACAGAAGAAGATAAAAAACCTATGGAATCAGATGGCTGAATTGTACCTTGGAAGAAAATCGGAGCTTGGGCTTGACAGAGAGGCGAAAGGACACCTTGTTCGGATGGGGTCCGTTGAGGAAATTGCGGTGGCAAATCGGTAAATAAGTGGAGGATTTAAGTGAATTCTCCGTCAAGGAGGCCGCCACCGCCGCCGCGGATGCATTTGCTGCTCCAAACGCCGCCGCCATTGCTCTCAAACTCAAATCCCAAGAGAAAAAAACGAAGACAATAAATCAACAGACAACACAAACAAAGAGCAGATAGAGATCAATAAATAACTACTTCGAAAAGAAAAAAAAAAAAGATATAGCTACTGTGTGTATAGTGTGTGTGAGTTTGGGGAATCCGCCGGAGGAGAGTAGTGGTGGAGCAGCGGCGATGGAACCAAAGAGTGGTGCAAGACAAAAAAGACAACAGTACAACTGTGACTGTGTAGATCGACGGCGTCGTTTTGGATCTGAGGGTGCCGCTTATATATGGAACACTATCGAGTGGGGCCCACATTGGTGATAGCTTTCGGCTTGAGTTGTACCTTGTGCTGTGGAGGTTGTACATTGATTTGAAGTGGCGCAGATCTATTGGTTGAAGGTGGAATTGTAGGCCCCGTAGAGTGTGATTTTTAGCGCGCTCGAGGCCAATCGTGTGCTGACACGTGTTAGTGAAATTAATTTCATAAGTGGGTACAAATTTAATTGTTTGTTGTAAATTTGGTACCCTTATTACCAATAATGTCGACAATAGTTTTCTTTTTTCTCTTTTTTCTTTTCTTTTTAGGGGGAAATTACAGTTTTCACCCCTCAAGTTTGCACATGTTTCATATTTGGTCACCCGTGTTCACAAAAAACACATTTGGTCCCTCATGTTCCAATAATTTAACATTTTTTGTCATTTCTGTCAATTTACCGTTAGTCTGTCAGTTAAGGCAGTGACCTGCACACGCTTGAATCATTTAGTTTTAACAGGAAACTGACGGAAATGACTAAAAATGTTGATTTTTTCGCAACATCAGGGATCAAATGTGATTGTTGTGAACATGGGGGGCCAAATTTAAAATGATTCAAACTTAAGGAACAAAACCTGTATTTTTTCCAAGTTCGAATCTCTTTATCAACGGTCGTTAGGTCGAGTTTTTCACACACATAACTAGTCTAGTGTGGTTTACGTCCCTCGTATAATTTACAAGTTATTATACGAGAATATGGTGAATTAATCAATATTTTTGAGTCATAAATTAATAACCACTTTATTGAATTAGGTTAAAATCACAAAACCATTCAATAAGTTGACAAAATAAAAAAGTTTAGAGGGTAATTTGGTCATTTCATCCCCTAAACTAAATATCCAGTTCGGTCGCTCAGCAGCTTCCCCATGCCACTCAAATCCCAGCCTCTCTCTCATCATCATCTCTCTCTCTCTCTCTCCTCTTTCTCTCTCACACAGTATACCACCATTAATTCACACACACATACAAATTACAGATATCGACAATGGCGTTGCAGCTGTACAGTGCAGCTCCAAGGATCTCGGTGCTGCAAAATCCTGTGTCTCAGGGGATTATCGCCGCCGCGAGGCAGCGCACCATTGTCTGCGTCGCAGCTGATTACGCCGGGCTGAATCTGAGGACGAAAGACAGACGGCTGAGCGCCGGATTCCGGATCACGGCCAGTCAGGACGCCGCCGCCGCCGCGGCGGTGGCGGAAATTGGCCAAGTGACGGAGGTGGACAAGGACACATTTTGGCCGATTGTGGCAGCCGCCGGCACTAAGACCGTCGTCCTCGACATGTACACCCAGTGGTGAGTTTATTCTCTCTCTGTCAATTTTTTTTTAAAGTAATTCAATTGGGGATTTGGTAAATAATTAACATTAATTTCAAATTTCAATGTCAAATTGTTAATAGCTACCTAATTAATTGAAAAAAAAAACAAATAATAAATCTATTCGATTTGAAACTTGCAGGTGTGGTCCTTGCAAGATCATTGCTCCAAGATATAAAGAACTCTCTCAGAAATACGACGACGTTTTGTTCTTAAAGCTGGACTGCAACCAAGATAACAAGGTAACTTATAAAATTCTTTGAATATTAGGCTTTTTTTACCTCATAATTTATTTGAGAATTTGCAAATTTAGCTTTTGTTTTATCTTAAAATAAATTATTTTATCGAATTTTCGAAACTTAAAAATGCATTATTGTGCCTTGCTATTTTTATTTAACTCCAGTTTAAAGAACACTTTGAGAGATATTTTTAAAAAATTGTGTTGCAAACACATCAACTTATTAGATCGAGTGCATAAATCCCGACTTTTAGAAATAAGCAATTATTCAAAAGTTTTACTCACAATCACCAACTTCTACTCGTTCAGAAGTTTTACTATTTTAAGGGTTGTGATCTGATTTAGTGTTACGATTTGTTGACGACAGCCGCTGGCGAAGGAACTCGGGATTAAAGTTGTTCCAACATTCAAGATATTGAAGGATAATAAGATTGTTAAAGAAGTTACCGGAGCCAAATTCGATGATTTAGTTTCTGCTATTGAGCTTGTAAGATCGACCTAAGAACCTTTTTTTTTAATGGCAATCTGTAATTTCTTCTGTAAAATCATGAAGATTTAAGTATATATAATGCAGCACTACTGATCGGATAAAAGGAAATTTCATCGTGTGTAACTCGACATTAATAGCAAAATTACTCGCACGTATATTTGACAGAATTCGAAAATCATATTTTTAACAGACACAAGCATGAAACACCAATGGAAGAAACAGGATAAAAGGATCGAAAAAAAGATTCTGTTCGTGAACAAATGAATTTTAAGTAACTAATCTGCGATATTTAGCTGATGCTTATTTGTTTGTCTTGGTGTGCATACATAGATTTGTGCAGAATTCGGCACAAAAAATGCCGGGATTAAACTACAAAAAATACCTCTCGCATTTTGCGCGCTTCATCTAATTATGCTATGGTTACAAAAAGAGCGCGATGAAAAGGTAAATAATAACCACAATTTATATTTTTTTTCCCAATGGAAATAAACCAAAGATTCCTAAAAAGACGAAAGACACAGCCTCCGTTTGCATATGATTTATCTCAATCTTACTTGTTAAGGTGTTGGCATGGAATTCCTCGCCCTCGTCGCACAAAGCCATTGCCTTGGAGTCTCGAGATCGTCTTCTGTGACAGTCGGTATATGCCAGCTGCCTTGTTCCGACTCCTGCAATTGCAATAATCGGAGCTTTTAGTAATGAAGCTTCACATATAAATTTCCAATTGATCAAGAAAAAAAAAGTTTGATTTCATAGGCAAAAAAAATCGACCTGGATTACAATTGAATAAGGCGGTGGCATGTGCAATCTGATACCATCACTAGAAGGTTTTAATCGGACCTGCCATTCGTGGATAGAATCGCGATATCGATCAGCCAATTAGATTCAATTTTGATACCACTAACATCTAATTTTCGGTAATTTCCCAAAATCCGAGCCATCTTTTATAATATTTCGTTCTTAAATATTTAAAGTAATACGAAAAGGGAAGCGTAGTTACCTGATGTTTTTCTTTCCATCGAGGGAAAAAGCTATTGCCCAAAAGATTGAACAAATGGTCTCTCATCTCGTCGTTGGTAACCAGCAAACACTTTGAACTCACAGCAGCATATAACCAGTACCTACGTAAGAAAACGAATGCTAGTTTACGAGATGAAATATAACTTTCTATAGACTGCGGCATAAAAATACGATTCTGTCTTGTTATTTGATTCCGTCTACTTTCTAAGTAACTGCTTTGTTAATAAATAATTACCAATCATCGTTAGAACCGACAGGCGTAGCATAAAGTGCACCGGCTTTTTTCCAACTTTCCAACAACTTCTTGTTGTTAGGGTACTGAGCAGGACCGCCGTTGACTCGATTTTGATGTAGCACAACAAGAGGCAGTTTCTTCGACGGGCTAAGTTCACGCAATCGATTCACAACTCCCTTGATCTATAAACAAGAGGACAAATGCGTGTACTTGTTATCTTCAAAATTACGTTAAAACAAACACGTCTCGTAAACGGAGTCGTTGTTTCGAATTCGATTCTACCTGGGAAAAACTGAATGTGTGTTGATTAGCAAGGCCGACGTTTGCACCGTCGACTACAGCGTCAAACGGACCGTGCCGTTGGAGCCACTCCTGAACCAGTAAACTCGATGCATTAGCTTCACGATAGTCATTACTGAACTAAAAATAAATAAAAAAACCAAACCTACTGGTTGCATTGCAGTACCTGAAATTGGAAAAATCCAGTTGTTGCTTCTTTCTTGCTAGCCAATTCAGACAAAGACTTTGCGAAATTCTCCGTCTCTTTCGGATCGATATCGATACACACGAGCTTCTCTCCGCACGACTGGCACACCCCAGCCTCGTCCATCGTGGTCCCCACCACCCTCCAATCTCCTCCCCCCAACCACCCTTGCCCGTGCCACCCACCGCCGCCCTTCAAAACTCCTTTCTTGATCTTCCCCGTATCCCAATTCTCCAACCCGACTTCCGCCGCCCTTTCCGACAAAAACCAGTCCTCCACTACGGCGGCAGTCTCCTCCGACACCTGTCTCGTCGTAGCCCTCAACCTATGCATCATTTCGTACACCTTCTCCTCCCTCTTCACATCGGAGCTAACTTTAAGAAGGGCCGAAAGCTCCGATTCCTCTGCGGAAACCTGATTATCCACCATGTGAGAATCCACCTCGTACGCCTCATCTGCCATACCCTTCTTGCAAAAACCGAACAATGCCGGCCCGTATGACCTCAGCTTCGGCCCGATGCCTTGATCCTTCATCTTCTTGATTAAATTGAAAGCCAATTCCGGATCCTCTTTCGCTGCAGCCAATCTCGAAACGTTAGTAAACGTCGCCTCGTTCAGCTCCACTCTATCGATTATCATTTCTTTGAAAATTTCGAACCCTTTCTCCAACGTTTCGGGATTCAATCCTTCCTCCCCATCGTCGTCGCTTCTCAGCGAACATAAATAGAGCAATACATTGTAATGGTACACGTTGAGCTGGATATTATTCAACTTCGCCTCGTGGTAGAGGCGAAGGGCCTCGTCTAAGTCGCCGTTCTTCGAACACTGATCGAGATTCACACGGAGCATTATCTCCGGTGAATCGCGGAGCGCCTGTTTCTTGATTCTTCGTGTGACCGAATACCTTTCGTTTTGGAGGAGGGATTGGCCGCCGGAGGAGGTCGAAAAACGAGGTGTTCTTGCAATGGGAGGTGATTTCCTTACTTGGTTTTTGGCATTACAACTAATGTAGTCGATGCATTTGGTGCTGGGGAACAGCGAATTAGGGCTGACGGAGAGGATGGGTGGGGTTTTAGGTGAGAGAAACGCCATATAGTAAGCCTTTGTAAGCTGATTTTGCAGATTGCACATCAGTGAATTTCAAAACTAAGATTTGATTTTTTTTTCCTTCAATTCAAGCAAAATGAAAACATACCCCTTCTAAATTGAAAACTGAAACAAGAGAGTAAGAAATCTATACATGAAATTTGAAGCAGAAGCTGAAACTGAAACTAGTGCCCACCACCTGTTCGATAGATGGGCTGACTGAGTTCCGGCAGAGTAAAACCGGTCACCTCGCCGGCGGTGTTCGCTTCCCCTGTCACAACATTGTGCAGAAAATGGTGGTGGATGGTTGAAGGCGATTTGGAGAAGGAAGAAAGCTGTTGTCCGTTTGAAGATAATATCCTTTTTTATTCCTCTTTTCTCGATTTTTTTCTCCAAAGAAAAAATAAAATAAATACTATTTATTTAGGGTAAATTACACCTACACCCCTGATGTATGTTAAAATAACTTTAAGGTCCTTGTGATATCGGTAATTACAATCACCTATGAAACTTTGTTAGAAACTCTAACAGTCTAACGTGATAATGCATTAGATACGTTATTTCGATAGAGTTCTATTAGTTTCAGTAACTGGTCTAGACAACATAGACCTAGGAGGTGACACGATTCCCCCAATATTTCTTAAATCACGTCTTAGCTCTTTGATGTCTCCACAACTTCCTGAAACTAATAGTTCGTTAGAACGGTGGCTTAGAAGAATTGACTTCCGATCTCCGCGTTGATTTTTTTTTTAAATTATCTTAATTAACAATATTGTCTTGGTCTGCAATATTACTGTCTCGGAATATTACTGCCTGAGACAGTAATATTATTGTATTAATTAATTTTATCGTCTTGACCTGCAATTTTGTTGTATTCGACTGTAATATTACTGTTTTGGCATTCAATATTACTGTCTTAAACAATAATTTTGTTGTTAACACAGTAATTTAGTGATAAAAAAAAAGTTTCAAAAGAAAAAAATCAACATTAGAGATCGGCCGGAAAAAAAATTCAAAAAAAAAGGTTTTTAAGAGCAAAAAAGAAATCAATGCCGAACTCTAGCCGGAAAAGAAAAATTATTTTCTAAAAAAATAAAAAAAAATGAAAAAGGTAGTTAATTTTGATATATTTTTTCAAATTCGGAATTAATGTGCAATATTGATAAAGTTAGTGTATAATTGATAGAATTGGTGAAGATTATATTACGAGGGCTATTTTAGACACATCATGAGAATATGTTCATTTGATATTTTATTTGAATATATGTGCATTTAAGTCCTTTATAATTGGCCTATTTGCCAATTTGTAAAAAAAAAATCAGAAAAAGGAAAAAGATCTACAAAGAAACTTCCTTATTAAGTGGACATCTAAATTAGGGCAGTCAGTAGAACCATTGACATACAGTCAGAATGTACACGTGGCGCACAGCCAAAGCTCGTCAATGTCAGACGTCCACCACCACCACCAGAGAAGTCCACACACAGAGAGAGAGAAAGAGAGGAGAGAGAGAGAAGAAAAGCGTTACCTTGAATTTTATCTTTGCTTAGATTTGAGGTTGAGTTGGAAGAATTTCACAAACACGTATGTATATATATAGTTTTACTGAATTAAAGGCAACCCATTTATTTATTTATTCGCCCCTTTTTTCACGTTCATTTTCTCTCTCTATCTCTCTCTCTCCTTCTCCATCACGTCTTCAAACCTTGCTTCTCCTCTCGTCAATTCATCCCATTCCATTCGCCATCCCTACACCCAGCCTTTTTTTTTTGTTTTTTTTTTTTTCTGACAATTTTTTTTTTAATTTTATATATATACGATTTCTCAGAATCAAAATTTGACGTATTCATATTTTTTCAATTCATCCCCCCAAATAAAAATTTAATTAATTAACAGACGAATTCAATTTCGCGGTGGCGGTGGGGGTGGCGGCGATGGATTCCCGGTGGAGGCGTTCGTTTTCGATTGCCGTTTTGCTTTTATTGGCTGACCTGATTTGTTTAGTGAGCGGCAATGTTGTTTTCGAAGTTCACCACAAGTATGGCGGCCGTGGCAAGGGGGACGCTATTTTGAGAGAGATGAGAGCCCACGATTCCCGCCGCCATGGCAGGATGCTTGGAGCCATTGATTTCCAGTTGGGCGGCGATGGCTCTCCGACTAACACCGCGTATGTTATATTCAAATTCTTTTTTTAATTCTTTTTTTAATGTTTGTTGCATGTGGCCTCTGATTTGAATTTTGGGGATGATGTTCTTGTGGATTAATTGTGAATTTCCATTTGGTTTTTGCATCGAATTAGCAGAATTTTCGTTGTTTCGCTTAATTCATCTGAATTTATAGCCAATTTGTTAATGTGTTGAAGAACACAGTGCATTTGCGATTAACTGTTTGCATCGAAGATTTGGGGGATGACGTTCTTGTGGATTAATTATGAATTTCCACTTTGTTTTTGCATCGAATTAGCAGAATTTCTGTTGTTTCGCTCGATTCGTCTGAATTTATAGGCAATTTGTTAATATGTGTTTGAAGAACACAGTGCATTTGCGATTAACTGTTTGCATCAAATTTTTGGGGATGATGTTCTTGTGGATTAATTATAAATTATGAATTGTGCATCGAATTAGCAGAATTTTCGCTGTTTCGCTTAATTCATCTGAATTTATGGCCAATCTGTTAATATTTGTTTGAAGAACACAGTGCATTTGCGATTAACTGTTTGATAAATTGTTGCAGGCTCTATTACACCAAAATTACAATCGGATCTCCACCAGTCGACTATCACGTCCAGGTCGATACAGGTAGCGATATTTTATGGGTGAACTGCAAAGATTGCGAGAGGTGTCCCACAAAAAGTGATCTCCATGTACGTTGTTACGTTTCTATTAGCCCTTTTAATCGATTGTGTTTCGTATGGGAAATGGAATAATTGTTGTTTGGTTTGTTTTTCGATCGACCAGATAACCTTAAACCAGTACGATTTGAAGGCCTCCTCCACCGGAAAGACAGTCACTTGCGATCAAGATTTTTGTGATGCTGTATTCGCTAGTCCAAATCCAGATTGCAAAGTGGGAATGGGCTGCGAGTATGCTATTACGTACGGAGACGGGAGCAAAACCGAGGGTTACTTCGTCAAAGATAACTTAATATTTGATCAAATTACTGGGAACCTTCAGACCACACCCATGAATGGATCCGTAGCATTTGGGTAGGTGTCTCTGTATTCGCGTGTGGAAGAGACTTCCGAGTATATGTATCCTGAAATATGTATATATAGTTTGCTTATTTCTTATGGAGCTAAATTGATATAGTATTCGTAAACGAATACTTGTAATTTGATTCTTGTCAAGTCCAACAGGAGCAAGACTTGAAATGGCGATCCATAAAAAAATACCAATACTAAGATCGGCTAGTGGAATATATGTCTGCTTTTGAAATATATTTGTTTTAGTCTGTCGTATTATGTAACTCTATCTTCAGTTCGTAGTATCACGTACTTATGTGCCTTTTTTATGTATCTGACATATTTCCTTTTTTTATGTGAGATAGGTGCTCAGCTAAACAATCGGGAGAGTTAGGCTCATCTTCTCAGGCTGTTGACGGCATAATTGGTTTCGGACAATCAAATACATCCGTTCTTTCTCAGCTTTCTTTGTCCAAAAAGATTAAAAAGGTCTTTTCACATTGCTTGGATGGCGGGAAGGGAGGTGGCATATTTGCTATTGGAGAAGTTGTGGAGCCAAAAGTAAATAGAACACCATTGGTCCCAAATCAGTACGTCGCATCATCACTTTTTTTTTCTTCTTTCTTTTTTTCTGGCATAACATTTTAGTTATTAGGGTAAATTACGGCTACCCCTGAGGTAAGGTCAAATTACAAAAAAATGGGTAGTTACAACCACCCATCAACTATGAATCTTCTTACACGTCCACCATTGCGGTGTCAAATTTAGTGGAATATTTTAAATTATGTGGAACATTCTCCTGTTTGTACTCGTTTTACCCCATTCGAGCTCCACATTTTTAAACAAGATGATCATAACATGTGTTTTTTGGCTTGTAAATATCAGATTGTGGTGCATCAAAAACTGATTTTTTTCACAAAACGAGTACAAACTAGAGCACATTCCGATAATGTTGAATTTGATGCCATAAGAATGGACGTGTAAGAAAATTCATATTTGAAGGGCGTGGTTGTAATTACCTAAAACGGATGGGTTTTTTGTAATTTGACCTTAACTACCGTAGTTTACCCTAGTTATAAGGTATGTATATTTTGCTGTTTCATCATTGGTCAATTCTATATAATCTTTAAATTTGTGTCAAAGTTTATTAGCTGTAAAAGTAGTTATGTCGGCCATGCGGAATGATTCGATTGACCGTCTAACAGTCACTTGAACTCTTGACCGTTCACATTTCACATTATGCTTTCTGAATAAACGTCTACAAGTATATTTTTCTTTGATTTTACACGACAGTCTCTGATAGAAGTTCTCTTGTTTTCCGTAGGGTACATTATAATGTTGAACTGAAGGCAGTTGATGTGGGTGGTAAACTTCTCGACCTTCCAACAACTTTTTTCGGCTTGGGGCCCAGTCGAAGGGCTATAATCGATAGTGGTACGACCTTGGCCTATCTTCCCTCCGACATCTATCAACATATTGTGGATCAGGTATATCCTAATAATGCAATCTTATTTTATTGGTTGTTCGGTTATGCGTACATTTGCACATGTTTTTCCATCTCTGACTATCTGTGTATATATATATTATATATATATCCGTTTATTAGATGGCGGCGCAACAACCAGATCTGAAAATTCATATGGTTGAGGGCCAGTTCAAATGCTTTTGGTTCAGTGGGAAGTGAGTGTTTCGACTAACTAAAAATATCTTTCTATACGTGTGTGTATACTTACTTGCCTACGAACGAACTTCATCGATCGAACTGATTGTTGATTTCACTCATATCTGCAGCGTTGATGATGGGTTTCCAATTATAAATTTTCATTTCGAGGACTCGCTCACCTTGCCGGTTCATCCCCATAACTATTTGTTTGAAGTTCGCGTAAGTAAAAACTGGATTATTTATTTGGAGTTGCCCTTTTCTTTTTTTACATATACTTCCGATTTGCAGGACGATGAATATTGCATCGGCTGGCAGGCCAGTGGAATGCAAACAAAGGATGGAGGGGAATTGACTCTATTAGGAGGTACACTTCAAGTTTTCTGTGTTCGGGGATACATTATGTGGATCTATAAAACGTATTTGGATTTTTAAATATACGAAAACGTCCTTTTCCTATTCCTTCAAGTGCTTATGTTGTATAGTATTCATCAAATAACTTTGAACTACGAAACTATGGAATTCACCAACTAATCGATCACTTGAAGGATGCTAACACGTTTTTATTTTTGTTCTTGCAGATATAGCATTGTCAGACAAGCTTGTCCTTTACGACATGGAAAATCAGACAATTGGATGGACTCAATATAACTGTGAGTACAATACTTTGTTTCTTTACTCGCCATTTGGTTTCACAAATGTATTCTTAGGGTAAAATAGGCCACCCCAAGGTAAGGTTAAATTACCAAAAAACCCCTCTTCTTTGGGTAATTACAACCAACTTCCTCAACTAAGAATATTCTTACACGTCCACCCTTATGGTGTCAAATTCAACATAATCTTCTAGATTCCGTGAATTGTTCTCTGGTTTGTACTCGTTTTGTGCAAAAAAAAAGTTTCTAATGCACCATAATTTGGTATTTACAAGCCAAGAAATACATCTTATGATCACCCAGTTTCAAAATGTGGAGCTCGAATGGGGTAAACGGGTACAAACTAGAGAATATTCCCACATAATCCAGAAGATTCCACTAAATTTGACACTGCAAGGGTGAAAGTGTTAGAAGATTCATAGTTGAAGGGAGTGGTTCTAATTATCCAAACATGAGGGGGGTTTTCATAATTTGACCTTACCTCAAGGGGTGACCGTAATTTACCCAATAATATACCCAGTTCCTATGCATTATGATTGACATAAGTTAGGGATTGTCGAAGTCTTCTAGTTTTTTTACGCTTGAGCCTAATCACCTGATCAAAGAGAAGCTAAAACAGAAACCGAGAAATCTTATTTTCATTAGTGAATTTACGAAGAAACAATCCTGCATGAAAATTGTTGTTGAAGCGAAATCACTAAAATATTCCGATATTGATATCAGGTTCATCGAGCATTAAAGTAAAAGATGAAGTGAGTGGAAATGCTTATGCAGTAGGCTACCACGACATATCATCTGCCCCCATTCTATCGAGCCCTAACATTATTTCCTTCTTTGTGTTCTTTGCTGCTCTCCTCAATCTGATAGAATGAGCTCCGTCACGAGGATCAACAATTTCCGCCTTTTTTCCTTTTCTTTTATTTTCTTTTTGTATCATATTTAACAGCTTGATGAAGAGGGTTTGATACATGAATCCTTGAGTTATATAGTGAATTAAAAAAAAAAAAAAAACATTTTTTGTCGAAATTTTAGATTTTCTTTTTTTTTGGGTCCTACAGATGTTATACACATTGTAAAAAAAGTTATATGACAAAAGTGTTCTCTTTGTTCCATTTTATCATATTTTGCTGGAGGTTGCGGTTGAATTGCTGCTCTGTTGCAGTTTTATACGATACAAAATCGACACTTTTGTGTGAAGACTTAATTCGATTGTTTTATTATACACTTGTCTAGATAACTATTCGTTTATCACATTTATATGTATGTGTGCACTAGGGGTGTAGACAAGTCGAGCATGATTGTTTTGGCGAGCTTGAGCTCGAGATCGAGCATGTGCCCATTGTGTATTTTTATTTTTATTTTAATAAATATTATTAAATTTTTATTATTGTAAATTATAATAAAAATTTGTGAAATAAAAAAAATGAATTGTAATTTATTTTTGAATTATTTATATGAATTTACTGTTAAAATGTTATATTAATTATATTTATAATTAAAAAAAAAAAAAAAAAAAAAAGGCCTAGCGAGTTGACTCGTGGATTTAAGAACAACTAAATAAGCTTGGCTTGGCTCGCCATAAAACTTGAGCTCGAAAAATTCGAGTTCGTGCTTTTGTCGAGTAGGCTCATCGAGCTCATGAGCCGGTTCAGTTCATTTACGTGTATCTTAAATTGCTAAAGAATTACAAAATTTAACAAAAAAAGAAAAAGAAAAAAAAAAAAAAGGAAAACGTTAACATGAAACAATGATTTTATTTATGTATTATTATTTATTATTATTATTGATTTGAATCTTCCAATTAAGAAGTCTCAAAAGATTGGTTCTACTTTGAGAGGCTGCTTCTTAATCTACTTCTATGAAAAAGAGAGAGAATAATTTCAATAAAAAGTACTTCACCCGTGCGTTGCACGGTGTATTCATCGTAAAAATAAATATTTGATTTTAAAAAAAGTCATCAAAATAGTAAGATCAATGATATGCAATACAAAGTAGTAGAAAAATAAAATAAAATAAAAAATATACTCCGTATTGTGTAAGTAATGAATACCAGTACCAATATCAATATAAATACCAATATCATTACCATTACCATTACCAGTACCATCACCAATACCAATACCAATACCAATACCATTAGCATTACCATAACCACGACATTTCCATTGCAGTTACCGTCACCAATACCAATATTATTACCATTGCCATTATCATTATCACTACCAATACCTATAGCAATATCAATCATTATCATTACTATTAGCATTACTAATGCTAATACTAATACTAATATGATAATAGTACTATTACTATTAGTGTTAGTAATCCTAATGTTATTGCTAATCATAGTCCTTGTATTAACTCTAATCTTAATTCTAATACTAATCTCAATCATAGTTTTAATCAAAATTGTAATCTTAATGGTAATGTTAATCTTAATCTTAATACTAATTATAATCATAATCTTAATCATAATAATAATACGAATCATAATTCTAATCCTTATAGAAATGCAAATATACTAATTCTAACGGTCATCTTAATACCAATCCTTATATTCTAATGCTAATGGTAATGCAAATCATAATTCTAATTATAATTCTAATCATAATGCTAATTATAATACTAATATTCATACTAATATTAATTCTAATGTGCTAATGCTAATGCTAATACTAATGCTAATGCTAATCCTAATATACTAATGCTATTACTAATACAATTACTAATAATAATTCGCTAATGCTAATATTAATATACAAATGATAATCTTATATATATAAGAAAGAAACGCTGTACAACCTAACAAACCCTAATGTGTGAAGAATTCTACTTTATTGCTACTTTTGTAATTATTTATTTTTAATATTTTTTACTAATATTTTAACTATAATCTTATATATAAAATAAAGAAACGTTGGACAACCTAACAAACCCTAATGTGAAGAATCTACCTTATTGCTAATTTTGTAATTATTTATTTTTTATATTTTTTTTACTAATTGTTTAACTATAATTTTCAACAATTATTGACCTCCTAATTTTCTTTAATATATCTCAAATTTTAAGAGATAAAGCTAGAAATTCAATATGAATAATACTACATTATTTTATTTTTAATATTAGTGTACTAAGAAATTATGGAAATCATTTTGTTCATCCAACAATATGATTATTGGCAATACATATTCGTTTTCGTTTGACAGTACAAGAAATGTAATTATTGTTGCGAATGTTGATTAGATTGTTATGTTTTATCTTTAAATCGTATTATCAATAAATTAATTATTTATTAAAAAATATTCCATACCAATGTTTTTTATTAAATAATCGTCACTTTTATATAATTCTTTTTTTGTCAATAGTCAATCAAATTGTGCATTTGTATAAAATTATTATTACAAACAGATAAATCTGTATACTATTAATATTAATAAAAACCATCCATCTATAGTATTAGAATTATTATATACAAAAAGCCCACGTGTACTAAAATTAAGATTATATAGGAATTTTCATTTATTTTTCTTAATCATAAAATTCAAATACATATTATTTAGGTTATTTACTAATTAAATTAATTAATTAATAATTTATACATAAATATCCTTATTTAATACACTTTAATACCGAATGTATAATTACTTTACTTTATTATGCTGCTAAATATGATATATTTAGTTATTATTACAATCCACTAAATACGGAAACATGCCAATTAATGTAATTATGCCACATTCCGAGCTTTCCAAATTTATGTTCAATTTAAATATTCGTATTATATGGATACTTACATAATTATACCCTATACAAATAACATATATCATTCATTACGGATTCTTACATAATTACACCTTATAAAATAATATACATCGTTGATTGCTTGATTTCATACCTTACAAATCTATCAAAACCTATAATTAATTGTTATTATAATCCACTAACTATGGAAATATGTCAATTAATAAATTCTAAACAGATCTTTTTCCAATAGTTGTATTATATGAATATATTTTTCTAGATTCATATAGATTGTATTCGTGCGTCTATATATTACACGTGTGTTCATTGAATAACATCTCCATCATTCACAATTGGACGCTTGGATTTGCGAAAAAAAAAAAAAAATTACTACAAAGTATGGTTTTAGAGAATGTCAATCCATCGTTAATATGTATTGTGTTGTCCGTGGATTACAAAAAAAGAATGGTGAGAAATATATTTTTGTAAATATTGTATTTTTAATATCTATGTTTAAACATGCGTAGTGATATACATCATACATCGTCTTATTTTTTCTATACCGTTTGATTAGGCAGCAATTGCCATCTGAATTTGTTGAGCCATACCAAGAATTATTAACTACACCAATGAAAAGTGGCTGAAATTTCACTAGGGAAAAAAGAGGCGCGTGTTGGTCGAGCAGCACTCCAGGGCGGCTATGTCTGATTATTTCATGAAAGGGTGGAGATGGTTTGTCCTAGACATGAAATTAAAACGCACAAATGTAGTTCTATTTACATTTGTAGGTAATAATACGTTCGAAGTAAATAGAACTATATTTGTGCGTTTTAATTTCATGTCTAGAACAAACTATCTCCACCCTTTCGTGAAATAGTAAGACGTGCCATCAATGGGTTGCTTCTCAACCAACATGCGCATTTTTTTTCCCGATTGAAATTTCAGCCACTTTTCATTGGTAGTAGTTAATAATTCTTTGTACGGCTCAACAAATCCAGATAGCAATTGTTGCCTAATCAAACGGTATAGAAAAAATAAGACGATGTATGATGTATATCACTACGCATGTTTAAACATAGATATTAAAAATACAATATTTACAAAAATATATTTCTCACCATTCTTTTTTTGTAATCCGCGGACAACATAATACATATAAACGATGGGTTGACATTCTCTAGAACCATATTTTGTGGTAATTTTTTTTTATTTTTCGCAAAT